TTGCTTAGGATCTACACTTCGTGATGTAAGAAAGTTTTCTCTGTAAAATTGAAACAGTGATAGCCCAATATTGATCTCTGGGTCAAGTAACCTTTTAATGCAATGTTTTGAAAGAAACTTTGTAGCAATTGTAATGATTAGGGCAAGATGGGAGTCGTACATTCATAATTCATTATTACACTGGTACATATGTACACTACATATAAGACCAGCAAGGAGCTACGACCTACACAGTTGCTTTTGAGACCTCTGTTTAACAAAATTTATGACAACAATTCTCATTGGCACATAAGAATATTATAAATATCAGAGCCAGAACAGAAACGTACGTGTGAAACGAAACTGTGGCCGAACCCCGAGAAAATAAGAGGGCAAATATTTCAAAGCATATGATCATACGTTTTCGTTTCCTGACTTGTCTGTTGCTATAAGCATCTGCATTTTAGCATGTTTGTATAATTTAAAAGCAAACAGAACCAATTTAGCAAGTACTTTGAAGTATATATGATTCCAAAGATGTTTGTACAGAATGGCCACTCCTTGCAATCGAAGTGCGAAGTGCGAACGTGGAAACATGTAATATGAGACTTTTCCACCCCCTCTTAGGCTATCAATTTTCTATGGTTCATGTGACCAGCTCTGACCAGGATTTTTCCTCCACAAGAGGAAAGAGCTAGGGAACGAGGTTGCTTTACCCTAGTGATGGGCAATACCAGCTTTTTTGGTTTCAATACGATACCAGTCCGATACCATGAATTTTGGTCGATACTGATACCAAAATCGATACACATACTCAATTTTTTCCATTTATTAAAATAACTTTTAAAACAAGAACATCAATTATGTTAACAAGTCAAAGAGTACTCTAACTGGAGTACCTGCCAAATAATCGAACATAACACTTGCAATTATGATTTTAAATCTAAACAATATCAACATGTTCAATGTTTTCCTTAAATATATTGCTAATTAGCGTCATGTTTTTGTTTAAGAACAGCATCATGTCAACATTTGGGCTTCAGTCTGTTGCCTTCATGAAGTATTAAGCGATTGGTCAGGAATACTGACAAAAAAACATTGCAGGCTCAAGTGGTATTGAATTACTGATACTTTTTGAGAGTATTGAAAATATCAGATACTTTTGTGAGTATCGATGATTTTGACATTTTTTCGATAGTATCGCCCATCACTACTTTACCCTTTGCTTCCACAAACAAAATTATTGCCACATGTGCATGGGAAAAGAATTTTAATTTTTATAGCATAAAAGCAATACACTTTATACACATACAATGTCAAGTCTGAGATCAACCCAGTGGTGTGTGGTCCAGCAAGTGCCGCTTGCCCTAACATTTAGATCTCAACAAAAATAGTTGGAGATCATTTTGAAATCAACAATTCTAGATCTTCACTAATAAAACAGATTAAAAACATTGTTTATTACAGCGCCTAGCTATTCCAGCTCGAATACGTAATGTAGCACCTATCAATACAAACTCGAGGTTTCAAGTTTCTGTATTTTTCATGATATTATCTAGACGTTTCGTCAGACTAAAATAGTAGGAACTGGATTAATAAGGCTTATCTTAATCTTTCAGCGGGTATTGGTTGTTGCAATGCTGTGCCCTTCACAAAAATTCTTGTTATTTTTTATTATTAACCAAGGCAAGCACACTTGCCTTGGCGATGCCAAATCAACGATTGCGCATGCGCTAAATGAACGTTTGAGGCCTGCTATTCGAGGAATATACACGAACTGCAAGCGGCACTTCTAAGGAACGCCGCTCTGTTGCCAATTGGTCATCTATCAATCCTAACATGTTTGCTATCTGATACTTTCGGGACGAGCTTTCAAAATTCAAATACCAATTAAATGAATACGTCTAAAAAATCCTTGCATATAGTACAGTGAACTTGCAGTTGTTGCCTTTATGTATTGCTGAATTTTATGAAAGCATTTAGAAAATTAGAAGATAATATAAGGTTTGTAACATGTTAGCATATCGTTCTCTAGTATATTCTGATATTCATGTGCACGTCATTTATTTGCAGCTCAAACGCGTGCACAAATTGTATACTTGTAAGTCTTGTATAGTTGTGTTCTAGAGCTCTTGTAACCTAAAACATTCACAAACTGCCCCACTGATATTTAAAAATAAATCTAATAGTAAAATTTATGTGACACCAAAACAGTCTTTGGGTAAATAACATGCAAACCGTGGCCGCAGGAGAGTGTAGATCACATCTTTACAATAATACAACACAAAATTTGCGCACATATTGGATGACATCATTTTCATATGTGCGTCATATGTACGCAGCACTATGGCACTAGAAAAAGTTCAAAATAGTGGTAAAAAAATAGTGTAGTACTAATTTAATGCAGTGCCAGAAAAGTCCGATGGCGTACTTAGAATAGACGAGTATGTAGTTTACGTAAGTACAACCGCTCCTATACTTGCCACTCCTAAGGTGCAAGCATATATAATAACAGACATAATTTCTATTTCACATACAAAAAAAAATATACTGTAGTCCAAAGTGTCATTGCCATTGATGGAACTTTCCATTTTAATTATATTACTGTTACTTCATCGTGCCTAAAATATATGAAATGAATGCCTGTATCGTGGAATCATTGCTTTCTCGTCCTTTTGGATCCCAGCCATTCTCAGAGAAAAAGGAAATTGTTGAAAGGGGACGCCCAACTCCTGAGATCCCAGAATTGCACACAACATTGAAATGTGGCGGTAAAGTTTTTGTTCAAAGTTTTCAGACATCAAATTATGAAAAGTACAAGTGGCTTGCTGGTTTTACTAAATTGAATAAACAATAAACTATTTTGCTGGCCATGTATTTTATTCAATCCCACAGACAATACTGTATGGAATAAGAAAAGGATACAGCGATTTGGGGAATTTGTCTAATGCCATCAGTAGACACGTGAAAACCAAAAGCCATTTGTCAAGTTGTTTGATGAATGCTGGTTTTGGTCGAGCCCGCATCGATTTGCAACTAAACAAGCAAACACGTCAGCATATATCAGCGCATAATCTGGCAGTGCATAAGAATAGAGAGATACTTCGCCGTTTTATTGATGTGGTTTGTTATCTTGGCAAACAGGAACTTTCCTTTAGAGGATGGGTGGAGCTCGAAGAATCAGCTAACCATGGCAATTACGTGGAATTGGTAAAGCTGATCAGTATATATGAGTCCTCGCTGGAACAACATCTTCAGATGGCTACTGGGTTTTCTGGAATGTTGAATCATATTCAGAACAATTTGATCATTTCTGTTAGGAATGTTATAACAAAAGCAATAATGGACGAAGTGATAAGCAGCCCATTCATTGCAATTTCTATGGACGAAACCTCTGACATTAAAACTTTGTCTCATTTAACCACTGTTATTCACTATGTTGACGCTGATGACAAGCCTGTGGAGCATTTTCTAGGATTCTTAAAAAGTGAACTAACCGTTGTTTATGCATCTGCTGAACTCAAATTGAAACCTGTTTTTGATTCCTATTCAATTCCTATTCATTTTTCCAGGGCTACATGAAGTAAAGCAGCGTAACAGAAGCGGGCGCAATAATCGCGGGCTCTTGAATACGAGAGGATCATAGTTCAAAAGATCAGTATAAAAGCGAAACAATTTCGTCAGTATACAATATTTCAATGAAATTAAAGCTTGTTGAGAAGATGTTATGTAGGCTTGGGCGGTTTTGCTTAAAATCAAAACCGAAAAACCGTCTGATTCTAAACCGGTAAAATCGGAAAACCGTTTTTTTCCCTTTAATTTTTACTTCAACTGAACGAGGAGGAATTGTGGTATTTTTTTGACATAAGCAAATGAACAGTACACGAAAAAACGCAAAATTGTGTAAAGGTAACCTAAAACGACTTCAGTTTTAAAATAAAAGAGTCAAGAACGCATTTGAAAACTTATACCTCTTTAGTTCTTACCGACTTTATGGAAAAAGAATAGAATTTGTATCTAGTGTCATGTAATTGAGTGTAATTATTGTCATGTTTTGAGAATTAAGATCGAGTTTCAGGCGATGACAGTGAACAATTACGTAATGACGGTTTTTGTAAAAGCTAAACCGAAAAAACCGGTTTGAAAATAAAACCGAAAAAAACCGAAAAACCGGTAAACCGCCCAAGCCTAATGTTATGTTACTTATAGGTTTCAACGTTAGTGTAAAATAATTGTTTTTGACATCCACTATGAATTTATTGTTTATTAATTCAATCTCAACTCAGCCAATTTTAACACTAACCCAAATAGACACCACATCAATGAGAAAAGCGTGGCATTTATTCGAGGGAGGCGTTTATTTAAGTAAAATGGGAAAATTGGGAAGTGTCCTGGTTTTGAGGACTCGGAGGTTGGAATGTCTGCATACCAAAAATTGAATTGGCATGGCATACAAAATATGTGAAGATTATGATTTTCATCCCATAGTTTTTAGGTAAGATTGTGTAGTCAAACTATAGAAATTGTGACCGATGATGGCATTGGAAGTACTAAAATGATGGGCAAATTCTATTAAAACATAACTAAAATTACATGGAATTTTACAGTAGCTTGCATATTGTATATGTATTAAATAATATAATATTGCAGAAAAGTTTCCTTGTCTATGCATACTTTTACCGTATGTCCACAACCCTGAAACATTTGCATAATAATTATAATAACAATACAGTCATATAAAGAACAATAAAGTAAATAGAATATACATAAGTTTAGCGATTGAAACACTGCACAAACCAATAAGTAAACATATAAATAAATTAAAACAAACATACTTGTGATCATCGCCAAACCTTTGAAACTCACATCGACTGCACAAACTTTTCCAGAAGTTCTTTGACATGTACTGCCACTGTTGATTCTTTCAAGAAGGGCAATAGACAATTTTATATACCCATCGCTCGGCCGTGCACAGTGTTTTCACCTTGAACGTCAGAACGCTAATGAGTGAATTTTTTATTTTACTCATGATGCATTGCGGTCGTAGTGCGATCACCGCCTGGTGTCAAAGTGAGCCTTGTGAAATCATGGTCAGCCACTGCAAGTTTCTTGTCTTTAGAAACTAGCACTTGCTTTCCACTTTCAACAGGTGCAACAGGACACTGTGGCTCTCCTACTTTCATGGTATGTTTGTCATCCAAAGACGTAAAAGTAAGATCACGAAACTCGATACTGAATTCCTTCTGATATCTGAATAGAGCAGATGCATAGTGTGCATCAACATGATTTGATCTCAGCTGACGAGCCTGAATCATGAATTTGATTTTAAGCCGGCCTGTATAGCAGCTTGCTGTTTTGGCACTGGGTCGCTGTGGCCAAAACTGGATTTGCAGTCACTGGATACTGGGTATGGCTGTCCCTTCTGCACACTTATTGGAGACCTGCTCGTGTAGATCTCAGACACTTACAGTGGTTGCAAGGTGAGTAACCACATCATCACTGCCAACCACAACATGTCTTCTGTCATCAACAGCTGTTTCCACAGAAGCATTTATATATAGCTGGCAGTGCTGGAGGAATTCCTTGTATTCTTCTGGACGACCATCATTGTTGGTACGCAGATCCCAAATGAGTTCTGGGTCTTCTTCATCTAGGATTCTGGACACTCTCTGGTCTATGTCTGCCTCTTTGGTTGTGGAGGCTGCACTGGTGTCACCAGTCAACCTTCGGTAAGCTGCACGGAGAAATGCAGACTTACCACCAGTTGCCATTCCAAAACTCTTTACAAATTCTTGCTTCATGGCTCTTGAGTGGTACACTGGGAGTGTCTTCTCCATGCCCTTCATGATATTGTGTGCCTCGTTAAGCAGATCTGACTCTGTTTTGAGATCTTCCACAAGAAGTGAAAATGTTGTCCTGCTCCACCAGTATGGGTGAATAATATGGCCTTGTAAGGTGTTACTAGGGATGAGATAAAGTCATACCTCCTTCGACGATCTTCTGGTGAAAAGTCATTAAAAAAGATAGGCTCGTCTTCGCTTGCCTGAAGAAGGGACACGTGAACCGCTGCATACCTCTTTCTGACAGTACCATTGATGTTTGGGGTCACACAAAGCACTTTGAAATTGTCCCTGTCATTAGGGGTAAAGTTCAGTCTTGTATGGTTTTCTTTGACCTGATTTTAACAAATTTAACGGGATACATTTAGAATATAAAAAAATAAATAGTAACATTTATTATATTGTGCTTACTTCCTCAATTAGGGCCCCCTGGACATAGATTGGTTTGAGTTTCTCTTCAAGTTTAGTATCTAAAACGTCTACGAGGATCTCTCTGGTAATTTGAGTCATCTTTGCAAATAGACACGAGCACACATATGAACAAACAATAAGAATAGTAATACAATAGATGAAGAATTGAGTTTGAGCTAAGATTATTCACGTCCGCCATCTTGCGACAGAGAAAATCATGTGGGTTGGGTCCAGTTTTATGGCACACCCCTTCCTGGCCACCGTCTAGCTCCGAACAATTCACATCTAACTACAGAGTTCATTGAGTCTGTACAGACTGGCCTCTGATCTGCCACTGATTTGTCTTTTTGCAATCCATCTCAGTTCCTCCTGGGGGTTTGCATAATCATCCACAGGCCTGGGCTTCAGTGGCATCTTTTCTACCCACGGATCAGTCAAATGAAGTTTTAGAAGGGTTTTACCCACAAAGCCGATGTCTCTAAGTATTTCTGTCCTTTCAAGGGAGGTTTTATGGGTGAATGGTACAACACTGATGTTCCACCACTTAGGCTTTTTAACAATCATCGTTCATGTATTCCTTTTGCTCAATTTATTTCTGATACTATTTTGCAACGCTTGTCTTCTGGAGCTATTTCTCTTTGGGGGAGAGTTGGGGAAGTCGATCCACTGCACCTGGTGATGCCTTTGACCGTTGAACCCTCAAAACCCTGGTTATGCAATGATGACTGTTTCCTGAATCTATGGATACTCCACCATCTTTTTAAGTTGGACACCTTATGTGGACTACCTTTGTATGTCCTTCCAGGTCATTACCGGACCGTTTGTGATGACAAGACCGGTTGTGATGACAAGTCTGGTTATGATCACATCCTGCTTACTGAGGCTAGCAAAACCATTTTTGGCTTTGAATGGGGCGGCTGGTTTTTACCTCTAATACAATTCCATTTGGATGGAAACTCTTCGCTTCCGTTTACCGTGAAACTGGTTCCCTAGTTTCCAGTTATCTTCGTACTATTGGAATACCTTGTTCGCTATATATCGATGCTCGCCACTCCTCGCAAATTGTTTTCCCCACTACTTCTCCACTGGTAGTCATCACTTGTAAATCCCTCGATAAGCGTAATTTTACGCTTGCTCAAATAGCGATTTTCTTACTCTGCTTCACTCTCGTGAACTTGGGATACACCATTGGATTGGATAAGTCAATTCTTGTTCCTTATCAGGCCGTCCCTTTCCTTGTTTCCTTAGCGACTCCCTGAACCAAGCATTTCGTCTCCTTCCCCACAAGACAGAAAAATTCTTGTTATTAATCAAAGACTCTCTCGCTCAGAAATATGTATCTTTAGTATTGCTGCAGAAATTATCTGGCAAATGTATCTCACTATCCGCTGCTGTGCCAGCCGCTTGTCTTTTTACCAATGAGATCAACATGGCCATTTCCAAAGCCGCTAGAGTAACTAAACCTCTTTTTATCACCTCTGCTCTTCGCCAGGAGGTGGAACATTGGTTATTTTTGGAGTCTTGGTCTGGTTTTCTTCCTTGGGAGACAGAGAAACATCACCAAGTCAAGATTTACTTGGACGCTTTTTCTTATGCATGAGGAGGCGTTCTCAACCCTGACAAAATTTCCATGGTCATCTTAGATTACTGGCCTGATGACGACCTTACCAAGGACATTGTCACTAAAGCCATGTGTGCTTTCTGTATGGAGCGCCAATGCTGACAATATTCGCAAAGCGTATGATGGCATTGTAATTTGCAACAGATACTGAATTGTCATTCGCAAAGCAAAAAAAGGCCAAATTCTCATTCGCAAAAACATGTCAAATTCTCATTTGCAGAAACATGTCATATTCTCATTCGCAAAAACATGTCATATTCTCATTCGCAAAACATGTCATATTCGCAAAAACATGTCGCATATTTTCGTCGCAAGAAATATCGCCAAATTTTTTTTCCGCGAATAATGTGTTTCGCCGCCAAATTTTTACTCATGATTCATGAATAAACATGGAGGACAGAATTATAAACGGAGTTGTGGACAGACTGTTTAACAGAATAAACCAAGAGCCTGAGGTCCCAGAGGGTAGCTCAATGCCAGTTTCATTACCTAATGTGATACAACAAATAGTTTCCAATCCAGCACTTCCACAAGTGGAAGGAGAACTTAGAAATAGATTCAATACGCGTAATCCATCAACAAGATCGACACCGAGTGTACCACCAACAGCAACCCCTGCATTGTTGTACAATCCCTTGACACCATACGGGCGTCCAAGGACATCGAGTGGCAGACGACGAAAGCGAACCGTTCATAACATTTTTAAAGATGAACCGGCCGAAAGAATTATATACAAGGACTTTATCTTACTTCCAGTAAACACGAAAAACACTCCCAGAGGCAAGGAAAGAAGCAGATTGGAAACAGAAGGTTTTGTGGTACACGCTGTACCACTAAAAGAAAACCAAACTGAAAAGGAAATTGAAGAAGTGGTCAACACAATTTTTGCCGATAAGTTGGCGTGTACTTCAACGGGGGGAAAGAGGTACTGTAGAATGCCAATATTTTGGTTTTATTTAATTAAAAACTGTTTCCTGTTTATGCATTTGTTAAATTTAGCAGTTGCCCAATACTCCAATAGTACTTGTATCTGTACCCCAGGGCTGCAAATTTGTGGGGTGGGGGGGGGGGGACAGGCATTCAGCAATATCATCAGTATAAACTAGATACCAGATACCCCTGCAATGGGGTTCTGTTTTCATCCGCATTTGTATGTTTCTCTGTCAGCACAAGAATGCAAGAAATCTCAAACATTAATAAGAAAATTTTTGGGAAGAGTAAACTGAATGTATATAAATTGCATGCCCCACTATATAATTTATGCATGAGAAAAGTATGCAGTCTCCAAGTGCCCTCTGGTTTACTTTTGGACTGATGCTAGCTAAGCCTCCACAAATTATCACTTTATGAATGAGGATTTGCCTAATGAACACAGTAGTTATTAAAGGCACAGCATAACCAGCTGAGCAATGTGATTTAGTCAGCAATTTGGTGAAAAGGAGTAGTGATAATATATTGCTTAAACCATTGAGTTGCATTGAGCCCTATGTTATTATTTTACTCTGCCTAAATGCCAGGCAATTTAACTTGTCAAATGCTGTTAATGTGTTGATATGGCTCCGTTATGCAATAAAAGTCTGCCAAATTTACAGTCAATATTCAATTTGGACAACTTTATTGAAAGAACTTAAAACATGGTAAATATCAAATTACATTTTTTTTCGATGGTGTAAAAGCACATTGCTCAAAGGGTGTCTGTGTGCCTTTAAAGTTTGTCAAGGGTAACTTGAAAATAATTTCAGTAAATTCGATTTTTAAAAATTCTGTAGGGGTCAAATAAAAAGAAATTAAGAATGTGAAATTTTGCATCAAATGATTCTTGAATATTCCCTCTTAAAACATCAAGGATTTCAGATACCACAGCAATTAAACCACAAAAAACCCCTTTGTATGGCATTTTAAATTTAGCTGGAAATTTGTGAAGGCTTCAGGAGGCCAAATAGTTGACCCACATGTTTTGGACAGTCACAAGTGGAATTATGAAGGATTGAAGCATATTTGTGGGCAAGGAGCAGTGTACATTAAATCACTGAATATAGATCAGATTGTTTCAGATGACGATAAAGATGATGATGGGGTAATGTATGTTCTCTTTAAGGTTACACAATATGTTAAAATGACAGCCTGTGTGCAGTCCCAGACTCTAGCTGGGACTGCATGTAGGCTAGTTAAAACATTGATTTTTATAGTATCTGAAACCAAGGCAACTATCTTCCACGAGTTTATGTTCTTTCTGGTTTTACTGAAATTCTCTCAAAATATCCTCTCTACACTCCTTGATGATTGATCTAAAAAGGGTATCTGGGATTTTTCATTGCTTCAGGTGTTATCAAGCTAGATGTAGTTCTTTCTAGATCAATGTTGTTATGGAAAATAGTGGCATGTAACTCACTTAATAAAAGAAAATCCCAGACACCCTTTTTTAGCTTTTAAGCTGCTTTAAAAGTATGTCACAACATTTTGTGAAATTTTGAAAGAAATTGGGTAAAATGCATGCTATCCTTAACCCTTTGAATGTGTGCATATATCGCAAAAGTAATTTGGCTTAAAGATGCTGTAAAACAAAAACTAAGCATACAGAGGGCGATTTTCCTAAAACATGAATAACCTTATTGTCGAAGAGGTTTGGAGCATCAGCACCTCCATATGTTTTCCTCTTATTCATTTTTTAGGATGAAGATATCAGAAGTTACTTATATTCTGATTGCCAAGACAATCTACCCCAGATCAGTGAGTGGACATACAGTGTACATTTTTTAACCCATGATTTAATTCATCATGGGTATATACATAATTTTTAACCCATTCATTCATCATGTGGGTCAGTTAAATGTTTTCAAGTCTTAGACAAATACCACTATGACATGCCCCATATGGATTCATATTGGGCAATTCCAGAAAACATGCAGACCTTGCCATGGAGGAAATTGGCACTCATGCCCCCCCCCCCCAACTCTTTTCTGACATCCCATTACATGCAGGGTTTAAAATAGATAATTCGAATTTATATATATATATTTGTAGGCTGTTTTGTGTGTGTACCTTTTTTGTGCTGAAGATTTATTTCAGTAATAAGCCAAACATGAAATGGTTGTATGCAAAAAATACTATCATGTACAAAAGCTTCAGCAAAAATAGAAAATGCATGCAACAACAGTCTAAGTAAGTTTTTTTAAATATCAAAACTCGAAACACTTTTGAAAACTTGTACGATGAATATAAAAGAGCCATGGACGCTGTTAGTATGATTTTCATCTTGCAGTTACGATTCCGCATTGTCCATGGTTACCAGAAATGCATGGCTACCACTGTGCCTTAATGCAATCTATTTATGTCAAGACAATTTAAAGTCTGGTATAAGTTCATTGTACACAGTAAATCAATGGGTTAATTAAGAAGAAACTCCTTGTTGCTAATTGAGAAGTAGCCGGCTAGTGCTGTGAAAATGCCGGTGACAGCCAGCATCAACTGCTATTTTAGACCCTACTGATTAAATTATATTCTTATCAAACATAAATTTTCCACCTCCCCCTCTGGATGGCAGGAGTTTCCTCTGTTGGGGGAGTATGGACCTTTTTTGCAATGTCAGTAACGATTGGCACGTGTTCGTAACGTACAGGTGGGCAAAAACAGACTTTAAGCTATGCTTGAAGTTGACAACAGTTTATGTGACCCCTATTCATTTTGTTCAAGGACATGTGTGCAACCACCTCAGTTTCCACTGGTACCTCTAGCTTAAGCTTGCCAAGTGCAGACAACTGGAGATCCTCCACAACCACCTCAGTTTCCACTGGTGCCACCTGCTCAAGCTTGTTAAATGCAGTCAATTCGAGATCCTTAACAGCAACCGGCTCACACTTCATAAGCACAGCCAACTCAAACTTCTTGGGTGCATCTAGCTCAAGCTATTCAAGTGAATGCCTTTGCACTTACCCTGCAGCTGACAAGGTACATGTACAGTACAGTACAGTACAGTACAGTACAGTACAGTACAGTACAGTACACAACATAGACTATAAACCATACATATATTTATCTACAATAATCTTATTCAAATTTATCTTAGGGCCTGTTTACATAGAGGTAGGGTAACCTTACAACTAGGGTTATGTTGTCAAGATAGGGTAACCCTATCAGTTGCTTGGTTGCTAAGCCAGCTGTACTTGAAAATGGCACACAGCAAAAGCGAGGTTTAGCAGCAATGCGCAAGTTATGTAATTTTACGTCTTTGGACCTTCGCTTGCTGCATTTCAATGCTGCGGGTACCCCTCTCTGACGCGTTTACATGGCTTATGTTAACAAAACGATACTCAGGCATGTTAATGCCTGGGTCTGCCCACGCTTGGATGATATCTTGCGCGCGTGTTGCACGCAGGATCTGTCAGTAATGTGTCTGTTAGAATATTCGCCCCTTGTGTGAGTATTTTAGTGAATTCGGGCGTTTGCTTCAAATCAAAATATAGTATATATGAGCGACAGGATTATTTTGGAATATACAATGCAAAGAAGTCGGTATACTATTCAGTTTTGATGTAATAATTGGCTCTTTGTAGAGCAATAAGTATTGTATTATTTGCAACAGCTGACCTTTGAACTGCTGATAAATAAAAGCTTCTTATAGTGCGCTATCTTGCGATTATTCAGTATTAATTGTTGACTGTTTCTTATTTTCAATGAAAATAGCTTGTGAATTACAAATTAATAGCACATATAGTTCACTCGGTCTTTTCCACCATGACATACTTCCCTTCAAGCATTAACTATGCTTCAACTGATATCGGCTTGAATGCGCAATGAATGTTGTTATTGGAAATATAATATCCCTTACAATAAGCGGCAGACTGTTTCATTATGGCGCTGAAATTCATCACGCGAAAAATGCATTCGACTTGCAGCAGGGTAATTTGACGAAATATTGCTATGTTTGTTAGCTAAAAACATTAACAAGGGAACAAAGTTTCCTGCGTTAATTTGGAAACCGTACATTTATTTGTAGATAACATTTAATGACGCGATTAACATTCGTCTGATGCCGATCATCGTAATATAGCCGCATAAAATAATGAAACGAAGCCTAAATGTAAACTTTCCGAATTCATTCAATAAACAGTGATATTATGTGTGAATGATTATCACAATTCTGCGTCCTCCCAGTCACGAAATATACTGCTGCAGAGCCTCTGAATAAAAAGTACCATTTTTTGTGTTGTTTTTCGAAATATACATCACGTGATCGTTGTCATGACAACGAAAAGTACGTCAACTTTTAGAATCTCCTTTGATAAATCATATAAAACTTGAATGGTAATAATCAAGGCCATACTTATTTTTTTATGATTTTTTGTTTATTTTCGCTAAATACACAAACTGAGACCCAGGCATTAATATACCTGAGTACCCTATCTGTTTGATAGGGTGACCCTAGCGTGCATGTAAACGCAACCTATAAAACACATTAGACGAAGGTAACCCGTCTGCTTGAGTAACCCTTGTGCTAAGGTCACCCTACTTCCAAGTGAACAGGCCCTTAGTGTTTCCAATACTATTGTAGAGTCATGGACAAACTACAAAAGGAAAGAGTGAATCTGAGGTTGAGCCATTTGTAGCTTCTACTGGAACCCTGGTAAACAATATTGTATTTTTTATTATAAACTAGCGGGGGGAAACTACAAACAACACGAAAGACTGCTATAATCTGGCGATATTATAATTCCACTAAAGGTCATTGTAACCCTATAACCCATGTTATTTTAATATTTTTGACATCAAATTACTGTTTGACATCTGTTCTTAATTCACACCCTTAAATGGGATGCAAACTTTGCATGGATTGTATATTTATTAGCCAATAGTTGCTGGTACTTGCAACAAATGTTAAACAAGTTCATTGACATTATAAAGATTTTTGGACATTGTGTTCAACATGTACATAGCTGGCAGTTATATTGTACTTGTTATTGCAGATGAATAAAGACATTGCACTTGCCAAACTGATGGAAATCTTTCCTGAAAGAAAAGATTTGTCTCTTGTAATTGATGAATGTAGCACTTTGTTGGATAACCAAGTTGATCTTGATCAAGCGATTGCTACAATTTGTGAGATGGATGAAGGTATACATGAGCACTGTGTTCTGGCAATTTCGGAAAACTAAATTTCATTGGGCAAAATAACTTAATTGCTTTTTGTTATATGGTGTATAAGGCATATAATATACAGTACATACATGTTCATGTACGGTACACAGCTTTTGTAGCATACTTTAAATATTGCAATTATAATTTTTTCTCCACGTTTTTTTTTCTGCATGTTTAACATCTACACTACATTATTATTCAATACCAAGCAATATACCTACATCTTATAATGTGTGTGGTACTGTATACGGCTGTGTGATATTACTTCTGTATTAATTCCAAAGCTAACAATATTTTATCATGCGGTATGCATGTGTAACTTGGATTTCTAAATCATTCTAATTTTTAGATTGTCAAATTAGAACTCTTATCAGTTCATTGAAGATCTACGTTTGGATGACTACTATACTGGACCTCCACAACACTTGAGCATGGAGCACTTGAGCAGTCCAGAGGTAGTGTTTGTCAATGAAATTGGTATTGATGCTGGTGCACTCACTAAAGAATACTTTAGTGTTGGAATGGCTGCATTGACAAAGGAACCCCTTACTGCTGGAGATGGTAGTTATCCCTTATTTGAAGGCAAAACAGATCATAAACTCCCCCACTCCAAACCCATTCTTACAGCAGTGTGGCATGTATGTTGCTGTGGGAAAGTTTATAGCACACAGCATTCTTCATGGTGGCCCAGGTCTTCACGGTTTGTCTCCAGTGCTGAAGGATTACCTCATCTCGGGTGAAACAGCAGGATTAACTCCAGTCCCAGATGACATTCCAGATCCTGAGCTATCTGCAGTGGTAATCGAGGTAACCAGTTACAGTAGGAGTAAAAAATTAGTTTTCGTAACTATTTGAGCATCAAAACAGCATTGGAAATAGTTTACTTGGAGAACCTCTTTTCACAGAAGTTGGCAAATTTAGATTTCTCCTTAATGAATTTTGTATGCAAGCCTTTTACACGTACCTGGAAACTATGTAACCTTTTAATAAAAACCTTTTAACTATTCCTTTATTTGGGGGCACAATCCTGCACCCAATGGTAAAGTAGCCTGATCAGGGAGCGAGGTAGGTGAAGGTTATTAAGGAAAGTGCGTCAGTTTGTTATTGATAGGTATGTCTTTATATAGTCTTACCAGTAGTTCATGTCCATTAAATTAAAGAAAGTGAAATATGCTTTGGCAATAATGCTGATTTTCACTTAACCTGTGACACAAAATCTTTTAAATATATATACTAATTACTCCATCATCTTGGACCTCTTGGTCTTAACTGTACATACAGTATGGTCCTGTGTTGTGTGTTTTATTTCTTGTTTCTGTTATTACTATGCTAGGTGATTTTGTTTCTCATGTTTCCCTGTTCGTAGATTCAAACCGAAAGTACCAATTGGACAGAAGATTCCTCGTCATGGAAAGACATTAATGATCAGCTTCTACCATCGCTTTTGGAAGCTGAGTTTCCTTATCCTCTAACGCTGCGGAATGTTGGTCTTGCAGCATGGCATGTAATGTGGCACTTCGTAATTAGTAAAAGGCAGAAACAAATTATGGATATCCGAGATGGCATGGAAACAATATCACTTTGTTCATTTTTGAAAGAACAAGCAGTGTTTTCCAGCAAAATCTTTCCACAATCATGTGATCTTTCTGTATCTGCTGAGCAAGTGATTCGTTCTATAAAATGTGCATCTGAAGATGTGAAAGAAGCAGAATCTTTCAATTTTTTTATCGACTACATAAAGCAACTAAAAACTACAGAAGGTAACATTACTATACCCATGTATGTATAGTTTAGATAATTGTATATGTACTGTATGCGTGTGTGCGTGCATGTGTGTATGTATATGTATGTGTGCATGTGGAGACTCAGATGTCGTGTAATTGATACCGTATATGTATGGTTTTTCCATTCAGATACTGACGAACAGTCGCCATCAACCATAAACCTCCTCCAGTTTTGGACCGCGGACAACAGCATATCGGGTGGAGCGAGACTGGTTGTTGATTTACTTGCCGATCAGACCAAAACCCTTCCGGAAAGTGGAGCATGTTTTCACAAGATTCGTCTGCCTTCTTGTCACAATGTTTTCCTGGCTTTTAAAAGAGCAATGGATGTTGCCCTAGGGTTTGGGGCAAAAGGATATGGTCAATTCTAACAAAGACATGCAGATAATTTATGTATGTAATAAACTTTTTGTAATAAACATAATTATTGCATTATAGCAAAGTTACTGTTGTTTTTAGTTCTGTTTAGTTACAAGGTTCTGTTTTGAACAACAATTTAGTTCTAAACTGTCTGCAACCACATTGTAAACAATGTTTGTTATGTTTGATTTTAACTATGGTTTGAGTAGTTTGTATATGGTAAACATACTGTATTAACTACAGTAACTGTTCATGTTAGAGCTGCAGACTTATTTTCGTTTCAAAAAATGATCACCTGCAGCACAGTACATACTGTACATCTAGATATACAGGGTGTATAAAGAGGTACACAATTTTAAGTTGGCCACTAAACTAAAAAATCTATTATTTTTCAGACTAGTTTTATTGTTAAGCCTTAGGGAAATCTGAAGACCATAAAATATCAATATTTATTATTTTACATAAATTTGTCAGAAATTTTCCATTTTCTTAGTTTAGTTTTTATACACCCTCAATATAGTTGTGTTTTAGTTAGTCATTGAATAATGAAGTTATGAAAATAGTACTGGATATGTTTGTGTGGTTAATGTCTAGATTGGAGTACTATACATTGTGTGCATTCTCAAAAAAATACTGCAGATAATTATTGGATATCCAGAATTATTCAGATCCAGGTCAATGTTATCTGCTGAAGGCTGAGGCTGATCAAGGTCTGAATTATACTGAATATCCTGTGTAAGCTGAATCCAATAATTGTTTATTATTCATTCTGTGACCGTGAGTATTGACCTGGATTTCCAGTTTCCGACCCTACCTAGCTTTTGGCTACTGCAATCACCAACCCGTCTTTTTATCTGAATTTTACAAAGAGCTACGAGCAATTTTCCATACCCTTATCAGAGTCAAAGAATATCACTTTCATGCATAAGCATTTATAAAAGTAATTTATAAAAAAAAAGAAAAAAGGAATCCCGACCTACCCTAGTCCCTACCTATAAGTTTTTGCAATGAAAAATAGAAAACCTATATATTTCTTTTCTTGGCCTTACTTTTTTCTTTCTGAAATATTAATTTTTATATCTATAATTTTACACAACATTTGTTGTTTAATTTAACCCATTAACTGGCAATGCGCCCAGATGCGCCCTACTTTAGTACTAGAGACCTTACGATTTTAGGACGGCAACGGCTACCAATACAATAGATCATTGAAAAGAATTGAGTAATTACAATATATGATTAATTTACACATTGTCCTCGCTCTGTTTACAACGCTAAATCACAGATTTTCACGTCTTGATACAACGGTTGTATTCCAAGTCGCAACAAGTGCAACTTCAAACTGGGTTTAGCAGAACTCTTCCCAACCATAAAACCAATGTCTTCAACTTCTAAAACTGTATTAAATTCATACGATTGATAATATACCATGAACTATCTTTACTACCATTTATTTCAGGCCTTAAAATATTGGTCGGTCACAGACATTGTCCGACCCATTGCCCGACATAAAGAGGAAACCACCAGACATTCTGTCCGACCTACTGAGGTTTATTGTTTGTCTGATCCAAATGTGTTGGTGTCCGACCGAACCGTAGAGGCTCGTATATGTTAAATGGAAAATCAGAGTAGTGTATAAAAGTTGAACTGGAAATGTTGTTTTAGTGAAGTGGATAACGGGCTTAACTTGTCGAACTCTTACTGCTGTTATAGGCAAGCAAGTTAATTTTGGCTTGGAAATAAGTATGAATGACACATATTATTTAATGTCTTCACAACATTTACCATTCAAAATTAATACATTGTGCTGATATTAATTTGTCATTCAGACTTATTTCCGAACTGAACTGAAGGTCATCGGACATCATCATACATGTGTCCGACCAGAACTCAAAGTCATTGGACATTTTGTCAGACGGCCCTGTAAAAGATATTTTAAGGTCTGTATTTGAAGGAGTTTGTTTTGGCCATCGCTGTCGCGTTGCCATCCTAAAATCGTAAGGTCTCTAATTACTCTGTCTAACACCAGACGATTTTACTTGTCAGTGGTAGAGTACTGCCAGTAAATGGGTTAACAAACCAATCTGCTAATATCTTTTGTTAACAAACCTATCTGCCAATGTCTCTTGTTAACCCATTAACTGGAAATGCACCCAGATGCGCCCTACTTTAGTATTTACTCTGTCTAACACCAGACGATTTTACTCGTCACTGGTAGAGTACTGCCAGTAATTGGGTTAAGGAAGGAAAACGTGAATAAGCTAAGGATGTTGTTTTGGGGTTTGTAATCCAAGCGAGTATATATATGTTACTCGATACTACACACAATGTTTTATGACTTTTATCGTTTTATTATGTATAGAATCGCTTCAAATATGTTTATAATACTAAGATATAATCTAGAATAACACTAGTTCAAAACGCAACGTTTCTCGAACGTATTCTGAGCACGCGAGGCGCGCCGCTGGTCGCTCGTACCAGTCTCTAAACTGTTCGCATATATTATCGTTCATTACGGTATCACTCTCCCCTCCTCATTGAATGCCATCCATGACATGTACGGATCTTTCTTCTTATTTTATCATTTACAGGTATTTCTCTAGAATTGTTGATATCTTCTACCTAAGACACCTGGGCTGGTTGATCAGACACAACCCATTAACTCTATCAAACCTATCTAATACTCATGCGCGCATACTCATTCTACATATAGATCCGTTTTTCCGTAACCTCAGTTACGATACACGTTCCTCCATAACTATGGATTCTTAACGACAAAAGTACAATGTTTTTCTAATAATATGATTTAAAATGTTCCAAATATCTAAAACGCAAACATTGGCTGGTTCTGGTACATTTGAGGGTAACCAAACAATGGTGGAGTTGGTGGATAACCAAATGGTGGTGGAGTTGGTAGGTAACCAAACGGTGGTGGGGTCGGTGGGTAATCAAATGGTGGTTGAGTTGGTGGGTAACCGTAAAATAGGTGCGGTTGTGGTGGTATGAAGCCGCAGGTCTGCATCATTCCAACGGTGGGGTTTTGACATACATTGAACACACCAGTCGCTGGATTTCCGGGTGTGTTATATCCAAAACGTGATGGCGGCTGTCGAACTCGTTGTGGTCGCGGATAAAATCTAGCAGTTTCTTCGCCGTTATTTCCCGCTTGGATCACATTTTCATGTTCATTCGTCGTCGATGGGGTTTGGGTGATTGGGTTCTCCGTTGTAATGTCACCTGCAGTATTCTCTGCTGTGAGATTTTGTTCTTCCGCTGTGAGATTTTGTTCTTCCACTGTGGGGTTTCCGTCTTGTTCGCTTGTCTCACTTGGTGTCACTGCATTTCTCTCGGTGTCTTCGAACGTTTCACTGTGCTCAGTGTGCTGTGACTGTTGTGCGTTCAGTTCTTTCATATCATTTGGCAGTGCAGATGGTCTCTCCTCTCCCTCTGAATCTGTGTCAACTTGTTCGTCATTTGCAGAAAACTGTTTTCTCGGTTTTAGCTTTTCTCTTCCTTCACTTGTTTCACTCTTCTTCGTTTTGACCGATTCGTTAATTTGTACGCCGTGGTCTGGTGGGAGGTAATCACTGGGTAATAACAGGTTGCGGTGTAGTGTTCTTATTTTTCCACGTCCAGATTCTGACTTTATGTCATAGACAGGGCTTTCAGGGCCTTTTCGGGACACTACTACATGGATTTCGTCTTCCCAGAATCCTCGAAGTTTTCCTGGACCTCCGCGTGGAGTAAGGTTTCTCACCAGTACACGATCACCTGGAGAAAGGACTGTTGATCGAATACGTTTGTTGCTTTGCTTCTTCCCCTTCTCCGCGGCTTGCTGAGCTGATTTTGAAGCTAGGTTGTACGCTTCCTCCATCGCTGTCTTCCATTTTCTTACGTAGGCTGGATATCCCGTTACTTCTTGTTTCTCTGGCAAGTTGAACATGAGATCAATGGGGAGACGTGGCGTCCTACCAAAGAGTAGCAAGAATGGAGAATACCCGGTAGCCTCGTGTCTCGTACAGTTGTAAGCGTGGATTAGTTTATTAACATGGTCCTTCCAGTTCGTTTTGTATTGTCCAGGCAGGGTGCGCAACATATTCAAAAGGGTCCGGTTCATTCGCTCAACCTGTCCATTCCCCTGGGGGTGGTAGGGAGTCGTTCGTGAGTGGGAAATGTCAGAGAGTTGTTCTAGTTTCCAGAAAAGCTTATTCTCAAACTCTCCACCCTGATCATGATGGATTCGAGAAGGGTATCCAAAACGTGGGATAAACTCGTTGTAGATCTTTTCAGCAGCGGTGTGGGCTGACTTGTTTCGAGTTGGGTAGGCCTGAGTGTATCTCGTGAAGTGATCGACTATAACAAGTATGTACTCATACCCTCCCGAACTGCGTTCCAGATGTACGAAATCTATGGATACCAATTCGAATGGAGCTGTCGAGGTGATTGACTGTTGTGGTTCTCTGGTGTTGACACTTGGTTTCTTTTGTTTCAGGCAACGACAAACATGGTTGATGTAATGGTCAATGTCCGTCCTCATACCAGGCCAGAAAAATCGTTCTCTAGCTAGAGCAAACACGCGTTCCGTTCCAAGGTGTCCCATTTCCTCATGGAGTTCATGGTACACCAACCGTCTATACTGAAGCGGCAATACAATCTGTTGGCCACGATACAAGATGCCGGTTTTCTTCTCCACGTGTAATTTACTCAACTCTCGAAGGTGTCTTTTCACTTCCCGGGTCTCCTGTTGTCGGTCCTCGAAGGTCGGTTTTGTCTTACTGTTCACATACCATAATAATCTGCTTATGGTCCGATCATCCCTTTGAGCTTTGGCAATGTCCACCATCTTAATTTGACTCGTATTCTCTCGATTTGACAAGTGACGTTTATCGGTTTCCAAAACATCTGGTTGATCTGTGATTGATGTTATCCATACAGTGTTACCGTTATCAATCGAACGAATCTGGGAACCAGCAGCACTAAATTCCTGGTGAGAGACAGTCCGCGTACATGAGTCCATATATTTCGTAAAATCTCCTGGAATTCGGGATAGGCTGTCGGCATCGATGTTAATTTTTCCAGGTCTGTACTTGATTTCAAAGTCAAAGTCAGACAGCTCTCCAATCCATCGCAGTCCGGTTGCATTTAGCTTTGCCGTCGACAGGACGTACGTGAGAGGGTCGTTGTCCGTGTAAACAATAAATCTAGGGGAATAGTAAAGGTAATCACGAAATTGTTCCGTAATTGACCATTTCAGTGCAAGGAATTCCAATTTCCCTGCATGGAGGTGGTAGTTACGCTCGGCTGGAGTCAATGTACGTGAGGCGTATGCAATTACCCTTAAAGTTCCCTCTTGTTTTTGATATAAAACCGCTCCGAGTCCGTGCTGTGAAGCGTCGGTATGAACTACGAATGGGGTGTTGTAGTCGGGATATGCTAAGATGGGCGGTGATGTAATACACTCGATTAGCTTGTTCATTGCGGTTCCATGTTCCGTAGTCCATTTTACTGGATGTTTCGATGGGAGTTGACCATTAGTTGGTGGTGGTCTCACTTTCTGATGCTTTCCATCTAACAATTCGTATATGGGTTTTGCAATCCTGGCAAAATCTTTGATATGGCGACGATACACTCCGAGTAAGCCCACGAGTCGTCGAACTTCACCTACGGTTTTCGGTATGCTATCCTTTAATTTTGTCACAGCTTCGGTGGCTTTCGGATCGATGTAGTATCCGGATTTCGATATCACTCTACCAAGGAAGGAAACTTCTCTATGGAACAACTTACATTTACCAGGTTTTAGTTTCACACCGTGGCTTTGCAACCGCTGGAGGACTTGTCGAACATGTCCCACGTGCTCCTCGAATGTTTTCGAGAACACAATTACATCGTCTAAGTAGGGGATACACACTTGGTCGCGTAGATCTCCTAAACAGCCCTCCATAAAGCGTTGAAAGCTGGCGGGTGCGTTCGTCAAACCGAATGGTATCCTTACCCACTCGTACAATCCCCACGGAGTTGTAAAGGCTGTTAATGGTTGGCATTCGGGGCTTACAAAGCCCTGGTGGTAAGCTTTGCCCTAGTCTAACGTGCTGAACCATGCATTGCCTCCAAGATTGTCCAATGTCTCCTGGATTCTGGGTGGCGGTCTTGTACTGTCTTCTTATTTAACTCTCGATAGTCAACACATAACCTCATTTCCCCATCTTTCTTTCTCACGCATACAACGCTGCTGGAATAGGGTGACTTAGACTTGCGAATAAAGTTCTTGTTGAGCAGGTCCTCGAGGTAATGCTTGACCTCAGGGTACAGGGGACGAGGGATAACTGTATAGATCTTTTGCACCGGTCGCGTATCTGTCAGGTTGATGTTCATTTGCAGGTCTGGTATGCAACCGATGTCATCTTCATTTTTGGCGAAAGCGTCACGTTCTTCGTACAACATTTTCCGAGCGACATGTTGCTGTTCTGGTGTGAGTCCGCTGAGATCTACTTTTGGTGTAAAACTTTCTTCCTGATTTGTATCATGTCCCTTCCCTCCTGTTGTCGATGCTTCCGACTGAGCCATAACATCTCTCCCTTCGTTGTCTTCTCTACCTTTCAACCTCACATCAACTTCAGTAACTGAACGAACCAGTTGGATTCGCCCTAACACCGTCCGTTTCGATAACATTATGTCATGCTGTGTATTATTGAATACAGGAATTTCTAAAATGGTTGACTTTCCCCTTTTTTATTGTTGTAAGGGTCTCTTGAATAATTAAACCAGAAGGCCATTGTGATTGTTCATCTGGCTCAAACAATACTGGCATCGTTGTGGTGACACTGCCTGTGTTTGCCCGACAGGGTACTCTGGCGGTCGTGCCCTTTGGTATGACTATGTCCCGTTTTATTGACTTAATTTCACAAAGGAAATCCGAATCGTTCGTTTCAATCAGGTTTACTAATTGTTTCGCATGTTCTTCTTTCAAATTTTCAAAACTACTGGTTAAACTCTGTACCAAACTGGGGTTCTTGGACCGGTTGTCATTGTCTTTGACTAATAATTCTATAACGTTGTAGCCAATGATTGGCTGATCTAAATGTTCCTCAGTCACTAGAAAAGGAACAGTTACTTCTTTCTCGTTTTCACCGTCTAGCCGAAATTTTGCTTCGACCCAACCTTTATAAGGTATTGTAGTTCCGTTTGCAGCGGTCAACTTAAGATCAGAATCCACTCCCAGTAACTCTGTAGTTCCGTTTGCAGCGGTCAACTTAAGATCAGAATCCACTCCCAGTAACTCGTTAATATCCCGTATCTCCAAGTCAGGCAATTGTTGTTTCAAGACGTGTTCTATAATTATAGAGACTTGAGCTCCAGTATCCCATAGGGCTGTTACTTTCAAATTATTTAGGCAACAGTTAACAGAACATTTTCTACCAACTAATCTTGCAACCGCAGCTTGCTGTTTAGGGGTTATATGACTAACAAAAACACTAGAGTCACAACCATCACCAAGTCCTTTGACATGTTCTCCCTGTGGCTTTGGTAAGCCCTGAATAGCTTTACAAAGTGATTGGTGGTCATTCCAATGTCTCTTCTGACATTCAGTCGAGCAATAATATACCAACTTACAAGCGGAGCAACGTTTAAAATTTACATTTCTTTCTTCTTTCTGACAACAGTTACAACAGTGACGTGTTCTTTACTGAAGGGGCTACTCCCTGTCCCGCGGGGGTAGCCGACGGCCGTTTCCCGACCGACAGAAGCGTGCAGTATGGTTGGGCCCGCCACACTTAAAGCAATGGGAGCAATCCACTTGTTTGTTTTCGTAACACGATTTACATTGTCTGGGGTAAAAACTTCTGGGTCGCGACATGTTGTCACTTCTGGCTGCACCTTCTGCAGGAGGATGGTTACGAGGGTAGTCTTTGTCATCAACTTTCTTCTGGAGGCTTGCCACTTCCGATTGAACAGTGTTCAGTTCTGACTGTATGGCCTTGAGTGTAGCCAGGATCTGATTTTCCCGCTGGTTACTTGGGTTGTTTTCCTTCGGTTCACCGCTGGCCCCAGCTTCCACTTTTGATATCTTTGTCGACGGTCTAACCGGTTTTCCTTGCGTAAATTTGTTAGCTCGCTCCGATTCTGCCGACATAGCTAGGCTCATCGCCTCGATTAAATCTTCGTCAGCCACAGAAGGATTCTTTAACAGGGGTCTGATCTTTGCATGAATAGTCTCATCCGCTAGGCCAGTTTCGACAGCATGAAGGAATAGTCCTTGAACCAATTCTTCATCATACTTAATTTTACTGTCCGATTCCTGTGATGCAAAGACAATCTTTTGTCGAGTGGTCAAAACGCGAATAAGGAACGACTGCGGGTCTTCAGTGTTAATCTACTCAGTCCCTCCAAGTAGCTGCGTAGTTGTAATCCAGCTTGAATGGAGCGAATAACTGCAGTAACTACTTCGGGCTCTGCGGTATAGCCTTTCTTTAACCCGATTTCGATCTGCGAGATTAACGACTGATAGGTCAATTTGTCTTTCTGTCCGGGTTCACCAATCTGACCTTGTATCTTAAACTCCCTTCGAAAAATACTTGCATTAAGACCAGACAGTTCAGTTTCACCACTGGTACTTGCTTTGGCTTCGGGCTTTCCGGTTGGTTTATTCGACAAGTTAGACTTTTTCTGGGCAAGTTCTAATAGTTGCATCTTCTGTTTTAATTCCTCTTGTGCCTTTGACAATTGTTCATATTGTGTCTCCAGTTCTACCAGTTCTTGTTTTTTCTTCTCGGCTTTCTCTGTGTCTTTGTTACTTTTGTCTAAAGTTTGCTCATACAAAAGCGATTTAATTTTTTCCACTAGGTCTAAAAACCCGTTTTCTTCACACTCGCTGGCTTCGTCTTCAAAAGCAGTGCGAATAGTCTTAATCAGTTCGAATTTCCCTTTGCCTTCTGTTGTCTCAACGGTGAGCCACTTCATTTTTATACCAAAATGTTTTAAATCTGTTATATTTAAACCGAGTATACAAGACTGGAGTTCTATCATAATTTCTTCATCCATTTTGAACCCAATTCAATGAAATATCCGACAAATATTCGACAATAAACACTCTCAAACCTCAACGTTAATTTAAAATATACGCGTACCTTCGCTCTTTACTTCGATCAAAACATACGCCAAAAACCACTGTATTTCCATATTTTCGTCTCGGTGGGACCTCCAAAATATTACTCGATACTACACACGTTGTTTTATAACTTTTATCGTTTTATTTAATGTATAGAATCGCTTTAAAACTGTTTATAATACTAAGATATAATCTAGAATAACAATAGTTCAATCGCAACGTTTGTTGAACGTTTTCTGAGCACACGAGGCGCGCCGCTGGTCGCTCGTACCAGTCTCTAAACTGTTCGCATATATTATCGTTCATTACGGTATCAGATTCAGTTTGACTGTTTAAGATGTTCATCCAGCATTGTCCAATACTTCGTCCAACAGCAATGTTGGACTCGATTGAACGAAATTTTAAAATGGCCATTATCTTTATTTTTTCTTGGTTCTTACAGTAACAAATTAATTGATATCTAGAATTATCAAGGCCTCGGTTTGTGTTATCTGCCCCAGCCTACGGCTTCGGTGCAAACCTCAGCCTTGAGAATTCTCGATATCACTCAACCTCATCCAACAATTATTGATTTACCTTGATGCAGGAACAGTCGTTCCAGGTGGATCTGGAGTTTTCTTCCCTGAATCACTATGATGACCTCTCTCTCGACTAGCCTAACATAAACAATGAACAAAATTCAGTGAGGTGGTGAATAAGCTAGAGATATATATAATTTAACTGCAGGCATCTTGCCTACATACACAGATTTGGTACCAGGCCCCTGTTTAAACTTATGCGCGATATAGATTACTTATTCGAGGGAATGCGATGCAAGAGACCGCAAACAGGGAACTAAATAGTTTATATTTGAGCGATTAACGTAGTATTTTTTGTATAGAACATTCGTTTACGTCAAGTCTAAGTCATAGTCACTTATACTGAGATTAAAGGTTTGATTATTTGCGATTTGGCTTACTTTTATATCTCAAGACGAGGGCTTGTAAGTGCTAATAAATAACGAATACGAATATAATCCTGGCAAGTGCGTTAAAAATACTATGGAGTGAAGCCGGGAGTTACATTTATTATAGATACAAATATTTTTTTGGGCTGATGCATGTTAAGTGTCTTCATAGGTGAAAACTAACTTGACCGCGGTGGGAATCGAACCCACGACCTTTGGCTTGCTAGTGCAACTCTCTATCAACTGAGCCAACTGCATGAGCTACCAGGTTTAAGTCGGTTCGACTATGTGATACTTCAGAACTCAATCCAGTTCCTTCGATATCTATGTACAGCTTGTGATCTAACGTCTTGAGCTGTGGTTTTGAACTCAGGTGTTTAATTTTTTTCGCTTTTTGGACTTAGTCTTTTTGTTGGACGAGAAATGCCGTACGAGGTCGTACGTTCTACAACTAAGTTGGCGTACGATTAATCAATATTGACGTACGATTTTCTAAGCTACTTTCACTCATGTTTTCAGTTGTATTTATTTCCTATTAACGGCACAGTATTAGTGTTTGGAGGTCGAAGGCTGCAACATCTTGCTGGCAAAACGTATTGCCATGGCAACAGATTAGCAACAGAGCAGCAACAATTATTGTTATATATATAGATATAGACGGACAGCGGTCATACGCACGGACATGCGCATTAGATATGTAGATCGGCCATGCTTATGTATTATTCATATTTTGTTAAAAGTATAACCTAAATACACGACAGTGGCGACGAATTTGGGATTGTTATAAGTCCAGAAATGACGACGATTGGAAAAATTGATGTTTTTGATGAAACCCAAGAAAGCTGGGAGACGTATGTCGAACGAGTACAACATTTTTTCGCTGCAAACGATGTCGACGACAATCATCAAGTGCCAACTCTGCTGAGTTTGATTGGAAGCAAAACGTATTCATTATTAAAGGATTTACTTTTGCCAGAAAAGCCTGCAGACAAGAACTTTGATGAAATAGTAAGTACATTACAGAAGCATTTAAATCCTAAACCACTAGAAATTGCCGAACGGTTTCGTTTTATAAGAGAAATCAGCAAGAAGGGGAGAGCATTTTAAGTTATATAGCTGAGTTAAAGAAATTAACCACACATTGCAATTTTGGAAATAACTTGGAAGAAACCTTGCGCGACAGATTGGTGTGTGGATTAAGTAATCAGCAAATTCAGAAACGTCTCCTTGCAGAGTCAAAATTAAAATTCTCCAAAGCTGTTGACATAGCAGTTGCTACGGAAACAGCCACTCGAATAGATCAGATAGTGGCCCATCTTCCCCTGTAGTGTGTTATCGATGTGGAGCTAATACCCATGTTGCAACTGAGTGTAGATTTAAGAAAGAAGTCTGTCACAAGTGTGGAAAGAGAGGTCATATTCAAAGAGCTTGCCGGGCACAACAAAACCAGGGGCCCGGTAGACCCTCGCCCAGATCAAGATACCAAAAATCGACCAATGCCATAGAGACCGAACCAGATGAGTATGAACACTTGTTGAATAACCTAGAAGTTCATAGTGTAAACAAATCAAACAGTGATGTCATATGGGTTGACGTGAAAGTTGAAAATCAACCACTATCCATGGAACTAGACACAGGATCGGCCGTGTCCATTTTACCATATGACATGTTCTTGGAAAGATTTCGCGACAAGAAGTTAGAGAAAACAACCACCGTACTAAAGACCTATACTGGTGAACTGATCGTTCCAGTTGGTTGCCTTACCATGCAAGTTGAATACTTAGATCAATCATGTCAATTGCCATTCCATGTAGTCCAGACTAAGGGTCCAGTGTTAATGGGTCGAGATTGGCTTCACAAGCTTCGCCTCGACTGGAAAACCATCAAGTTGTTGAAATCCTCAGATTCCAGCCATAGAAACCCTGGCACGACTACACAAGAGAAGCTGAAAAACCTATTGGATACGTATGCAGAGGTTTTTGAAGACAAGCTGGGAACTTTCAAATCTGCCAAAGCAAGGATAACCCTCAAAGAAGGTAGTCAACCACAGTTTCGCAAAGCTCGTCATGTCCCATATTCCTTACGACCGAAAGTGGAGGAAGAACTGAAGAGACTTCAGAGCGAAGGTATTTTGTCGAAAGTAGAGTGGAGTGATTGGGCGACACCGATTGTACCAGTGCCGAAACAAGATGGTTCAGTCCGTATTTGTGGTGACTTCAAAGGTACTATTAACCCAATACTACAAGCAGAACAGTATCCTCTGCCTCGAATCGAAGATATCTTTGCCCATTTAGCTGGTGGGAAAAAGTTTTCCAAGATCGACCTCCGCCAAGCTTACCATCAGATTGAGCTGGAGGAAGAATCCAAGAAGTATCTTACAATTAATACGTCCATGGGCTTGTTTCAATACAATCGATTGGTGTTTGGTATTACCTCAGCTCCCGCCATTTGGCAGCGTACCATGGATCAGATTCTGGAAGGAACTTCTGGTATTAGTTGTATCCTAGATGATATGATTGTGACGGGTAAAAGCGACGCAGAGCATATGGCTAACCTGGAGGAGGTCCTTCGACGGCTGCACCACCATGGGTTAAGAGCCAATAAATCGAAGTGTGAGTTCTTCAAAGAAAAGATCACGTTCTGTGGCCACGACATTGATAGTGAAGGCCTGCACAAGACCACCGACAAGACAGC